GATTTCCAATTTAGCAAGCTCCCGCTCCAGCTTTTCACAAGATGACATTTTATGGACTTTGGTGGTCATGTAATAATGTGATTATACAACAGAAACTGTTAGCATAGAACTTACAGTACTATTCATCAATATTAGAGTTAGTATTCATTAGGTCTTCCTCTAAGTGTGATGTTTCTTGTAACTGAGAAATATTGAATTTCTTTTTCTTTTTTTATCATTTTAGAAAGGCACTCTTGTTCATAATGTCAGTACAATGTAAAATCGATCCCACGTTCTCGGTATGATGATAAACTACATCTGGGAACAAGGCCTCTGATCAGGAGGTTTTGAGGAACATGGAACAGCCATTTAATTGTTGGTGTTCCCAGGTTCACTCTGACCCAGGGTGATAGCACCTGTTAGGTTCCCAGCTATGGGCAAGTAGTTAACCCCCAAACTGGGGTCAAAACATTATGAAAGTGTAAAAATAGATTTTAATACCAGCAATACATCTTTGAGAAAAATTATTACCATCAATACATTTTTGGAAAAAAATATTACCAGCAATAAAAAACTTGTTTGCATTAAATAACCCATTGAGGTTGATATGCCATAAAACAAAACAAACAAAATAAAACTGATCCCTAACTTTTTACAGAGTTATTCAAACTTAGGTGTTCTGCATACAAAAACACTTTTTTAAAAAGATTTTGTTTCAATAAGGAACAAATAGGTATATACATTTTTAATTAAAAAAACAAAAATTTGCATAAATTAATAAAAGTATGCAGAGTGTCCATAAAGTCTCTTTACAGTTTAAAAAATATATTACAAAGGCAGATGATGAGATATCTTAATCAGATTTGTTCTATGTACTCAATAGCTATCAAAGTTTTTTCATCACATTGCATTTGTGTATTTCAGTTGAAAGAGGTACTGTTAAATGAACCACTAACATTTCCAGACCAGTGGATTGGAAGAGATGGCCCAATTCCCTGGCTACTTTGTTCACCAGATATCACTTCCCTGGACTTCTTTCTACGTTTATGTATATTATGTTATGCTAATGATATTATACAGGGCATCTAAAGCAAAAGATCACTGATACCATTGCCACGGCTATGCTACAGTGAACATGGCAAGAAATCAAGTACCATCTTGATGTACTTTGTGAAACTAATGGTGCTCATAAGGCGTATTAAATTAGTTAAAAAAAAACTTCAATATCTACTCTTCATTTTGTAACAATTTCTCACATATGTGTCTCTTCATTTGCTTTGGTAATAAATTTTTTAGATTGTAAAGAGGCTTTATTAACACCCTGTATATCTGTTTATTCTTTATTTAAAATAAATTATTAATATTTGTGTTTGATGTGCTTCTGAATGAAGCATATATACAAAGAAAAGAAATGAAATTTTTTTTAAAAATTCAGAAAATCAAAAAAAAAATAATTATGTAGATATCAGTGTAAGCACAGTTTCAAACATTTGTAAATAACAACTAGGTCCAATAACTCTGTGAAAAGTCAGGGATTGATTTTATATATCAATATTATCAACAGGACCCCTTCTAAATCAATAAAAAAAATTAATAATCTTTGATTCTGACAAATTTGACAAATTGATGGATAGTAACATACAATTTTTTTTTTTTTTTTTTTTACTTACAAATGGACCAATCTATTTAAGTAGTGCTGAAAACCAAATAGTTTAATTTAGACTTTTATTTAGCTTTGCAGGAAATAAGAAAATAGAACTTGTGGCCCTGAAATTTTCAACTCATAGCAGTATCGATTTTTCTATCTGGAACAGCATCATTCTAACATAATATGAAATGAGCATAAACAGCTCTCAGTGATTTGCCAGTTTTGAAAAAACATTTGAATAGCAAACACATGATGTGCACAGGTTTAAGCCATGGTAACTGATATTATATATAAAAAAAATAACGGTAAGATATCAGTTCGATGAAGAGATCATTGTTAATCACCTGAGTTTAATAGCATCATACAGGTGACAGTTTAAAATGTGGGAGGTATTTTTACTGCACCCTGTATAAGAAATGACCAAACAACTAATATATTTCTTCTTGAAAACAGATGCTGAGGTTTTATTGCCACTTGGGTTATTACCAACAGAAAAAAATAAATATATTCAGGGGCTTCAATATCAGAGAGAGGTTGCTTCTTCATAGATCTGATATTTCTACACTTGGATAGAAAAACAACACCACTTTGTGGTATTGTGAGGTACAGCTTTGTGATCCATTTGCCTCTGGAATCTATGCTGGGCAATACTTTTGTTTAAAAAAAAAAAAAAATTGATTATCCAATAATAAGTTCTTAGCCCCACCAGAGAGTTTAGTGAGTACTTCCTCTCCAGCTATCAATCTAATAAAATCTGAACTGTGTTTTTGGGTTAAAGTGATAATGTCAGAGAAGTGGTACTAAAAGTGGTCCCTGATAAATTAAATACAGAGTAAGGAATGAAATTATTGTATAAAAAGTTGGACTCTCAATTCAAAGTGAGACCCTGTGCTGTGCTGAAATATAGAAATGTAAATCTTGTATATTTCAAGTGGAACAAATTATATTGCTGGTTGAGATTAGTTAAAACAGGGGATCTCAACCAGTGGTGAATTCACCCATCCCATGTCGAAATTTAGGTGGGGGGGGGCTTTTACTTTTTCTTGTTTTTTATTTACAGAATTTTGTTTATTGAATCACAACAACCTGGCATTCTGTTGAACTTTGTTTATTAAAGTATTGCTTCTGTTTATTTATTTAACAATTAGCAGTGAATTAAAACAAATTACTGTACATGTATTCACGTTTAAAAATCCATCAAGATTTTCTATTACTATTAAATTTGTAAATCTCCTGTATAAAAATAATCCATGTAAATGTATGTGAACAATGCTCGCACACCTGCACCATAAACCAAAAAAACTGATAAAGAAGAAGAAAGAAGAGAAGTACTAATATGGAAAAGAATGAAGATTTTCAATAATATATGAATATTATTTGGAATGCACCTTTTGAGTCAGACAATCTTGGAAAGGCAGCAGGGAATGATTTTTTGACTTATGATTAAAAGGGTGCATTCAGCAAAAAAAGAGTTAAAGGAAGTGAAAACAAAAATGTTTAGGTGAAACATGGATGAAGCTATGTTATAGTCCATCTTTGTTGCCTGCAGATATATATAATGATGATTAAGTTGAAGTGGATGGATCACCAACTGATGAGAACCGGTTCAACTAGTAAAATTTATAAGATGATTCATGGGTAGACCAAGGTAGTAGATTGCAGATTTTGAAGATGTTTAACTGATGAAAGAAATTATATTTATATGTTGAGCTGTTCTTTTTGTAAACAACAATGAATTCTGTCTTGCAATTGATGGTTAGTCTTTTCTTTTCACTTTCCTTCACAACATTCTGCAATTCTTGTAGTTTCCTTTCTATGTCTTCTATTAGTCATTTTCCCACTGCCATAGCATAGCTTCCCTGTGCCTTTTCCTTAAATATTTTCATGGAAATTGTTCAGTTAAGCTTTTCCCTTTGGTACCTAGACTTTACAAATTTTATAGATTGAAGACAAGGTCTTGTCATTTTACAATTGAAATGGCTAGATGATGTAACCGTAAGTTCTATGTTAGCAGTTTCTTGCATTGCTCTTCTTATTTGCAGAACTCTCTTCTGGCTTCTTGCTTCCCAGTTGACCTTGATCTGAAATAGTGAATCCTACTAGAATTAATTCTCTCAGAATCACCTCACTGTACATAGGTTGAATAAGTCTGGTGAGAAGACACATCCTTGTCTTATACCCCTTTCTATTTTTGTATATTTACCGAATTTATTTTCTATTCATATGCAGGTGGTTAGCTGCTAGTATAGGTTCTGGATTATTCTAATATCCTTTCCAAATATGCCTCCTACTTAGTGCTGTCTAAACTTTTTAGAAAAAAAAAATTTTAGTAATACATTAAGATTACTAGCCAAGCCAAAAATTCAAAAGGTATATAAGAAGAAATAATTAAAGGAAAAATTTTGTTAATAATTAATGTATAGCTAATTGTAGAGGAAGTAGGCATTATTAAACTTAAAATTCGCAATAACAACAATAAGAAGAACAGGGCAAAATAATATGAGACAAGACAATATAATTCAAAGCAAAGTAAAGCAACTCTAAAACAGAACAATGTAAAAAGTTCACAAAATAGAAATAGTGTTCACATGTAAAACAGATACAGCCAAGTGGTTATAGCCTTCTGTCTTCCTAGCAAGAAAGAAAAAAATTGTCTGTTTTTATTGAATACGAAGAAATCCCAGCATGCATCTGTAGGTTTTTAATAGTCATTCCCTAGATTTTGACCAACAGTAATGAAAGTGTCACTATACATCCGTTTTGAAAACAAATTTAACTTAACGTCCGTGTGTGTGCATACTCATAAGAGCATGGCTATAGATAAAAATAGGCTTATAATAAATATACTGTTATTTGCAAGAATATTTATATTTTGATGTAAAAATTCCCTTCTCCTATCATGCACATACACAACCTTATTCATGCTAAAAATTTTGTTCTGTTCGGTTATATAACAAGGACACTTTTTTTCTTTTTTTTTTTTCCTTAATGATGTCACTTTGCTAACTTACCCTCTCTCAGTATTGTAATGGATAGTAGCTCAGAAGGAGAAATCAGAGCGCTGAGTTTGAATTCCAGTCAGGTCCATAATAATAAAATAAAATCCTTAAAGAAATTTTGTTGTTTTTAACCTTGATCACTGTGTATGTGACTTCATTTGCTGTACAAAATGTTTATCCTGTCACTGAAGGTGACTCTGATCCCTGAATTTGAATTTGTTTGAGTTTCATAGTTGTGTTGACATATCCTGCTGTGGCAGCAGAAAACAACTTTGAGTGAAATTAACAATAAGGATATTGCAATTGAGAGTCCTTGACAAAAAATGCAGAGTGCTAAAGTTTAACTAAATTTTTATATATATATCTTACATCCACATCGTGTTGAAACACTGTTTTCCTGTACAATCACTGAAGTTAAGCAACATCAAGTCTGGTCAGTACCTAGATGGGTGGCCGCTTGGGAATACTAGGTGCTGTAAGCTTGGATGTGCAAAATGGTATAATGGATATTTGCTCAAAAATGGAAATCAGAGAGCTGAGTTTCAATTCCCATTGGGTTCGTTATATTCACTTACACACAAATACCCTTGAGAAAGGTATGAATTCATTTCCCCTCCCAGCTATGGGTTAATTAGTAAGACTTTTCTCACTAAAAATATTATCTCCCAAAAAAATAAAATTGTGTACAGAGTATTTAGATTTCAGCATTAAATAACCCACAGAGGTTGATATGACAGTGAATAAAAAAAAAAAAATATTTCAATTCCAAGCAAGTCAGTAAAGTCATTCTAAGATGCAAAGGGCTACTGCATGTAAGAGACTAAAAGAAAACGAAAACATTAAGGAGCAAGAACAATAAAAAAAATAAAATTACATTTTCAGGAGAAAAAGGCCAAAATAGTTATTAATGTCATCTATGGCAATACAAACTGGTCAGAAGGTAGTTAAGACTGAAGCCTAATGGGGCCTCAGGAGTTTCCCGCTGGAAGTAGACGTATAGACACCTATCCATGCGTGATATGTCATTGCAAATACCCCAGATATTATGTATCTATTGACAAACGCAACCTCTCTAAATACTGCCATAGAATTTGGACACTTTACTACTAGTCAGGATGCTGCAACCAGAAAACTGCCAACCTGGTACCTTCACAATGAAAAATCACAACTACTGATCAGTCAGATCACCAAAAAAAATTAAAACAGTTAAATCATTAAGGCCATAGAATAAAGAAAGGAACCAGTAAACCATATACTAAACAGGAAACAAGGGATAAATCTCTACTGGTTAAAAATATAGGAGTAATGGCTGGGTGATAGATGAACTTATCTACTCCTATTATTTATATATATATATATATATATATATATATATATATATATATATATATATATATATATATATATATATATATATATATAATATAATATATATATATATATATATATATATATATATATATATATATATATATATATATATATATATATATATATATATATATAATATAATATAATATATATATATATATATAATATATATATATATATATATATATATATATATATATATATAATATAATATATATATATATATATATATATATATATATATATATATATATATATATATATATATATATATATATATATATATATATATATATATATATATATATAATATATATATATATATATATATATATATATATATATATATATATATGAGAGAGAGTAAGTAAATTAATATGAACTTCAAAAACTTATCTTCCAAGTTCAAGTTTTCCAGAAATAATTGTTTTTCAAATGCAAGATAAATCAAATGATTTTATCAAGACATCATATCTAGTTTAAAATACGATAGTCAAAAATTTGTTCACTTATTAAGTAGAAAATTGACTTTATAAACCTGAACAAACTTTTTGGGCAAACCAAATTAAAGTAATGTTGATTTTTGACATCAACTTAAATTCTAATTTTTTCCTTTCTTAATGACATTAAGTGACATAATTTAATCTGAAATTGTTTGATTATTTATATTAGATAATTATTAGATTATAATTATATTGTTTTTATTTGCTTATGTTCATGTCATCGTAATTGGAAATTATTATTTGTTAAACAACAGACAGGTAGGAAACAAAAAATTAGAAAATAAAAAGGGGGGTCTGCAATAACAGTGAGTAGGTTGGAACAAGAATCAAGATTTCAATAGCACTCCTAAAGTGACCTGACATTTCACTTGATATTCCATTGCTATTGTCATTTACCATATCTGACTTGGCTCAGTTTCAATTTACACAGGCTATTTCTCCTCTTGCCAGCTGACATTGTGTTTTATACATCTCTGACTGTTGATGAAAGGAGAGCTAGTGGGATATTTGTTTAATAAACTCTGTTCTGCTACAAGTTAATCATAACTTACCTCTTCTGTTGGTGAAAATATGTTTACTTTGCATGATAACTGGGATGGAAAAGAATTTAGTTTGTCAGCAGCAGGAGGCAAAACTTTCAAGTAGCCATATTGATGAGTTTCTGATAAGGTTGTACTTTTTTTTTTTTTTTTTCCAATATGTGTTTCACTTGAAGTTCATTCCAGTTAAGAAAGTGATATCATTTCAAGGGTGGTGAGGGTAACCAAGGATAAGGAGAAACCAGTGAATACATAACTGTAAACACACACACACAACTTTAATTGCAACAGATATTCCCATTCTAGTCTTCAACACAGACATCTTCCTTCCCACTCATATGTGGGTTGGTCAAAAAGAAATGCCTGTTCTTCTTTAATTGCAACAGTCTTCATTTTAGAGGCACACAAAGCAGACCAAAATGAATACAAATGTCTTAGGATTCCCATTCTAGTCTTCAACATAGTCACCTTCCTTTCCAATCATGATAATGAGGGTCGGTCAAAAGGAAATACTTGATCTTCTTTAATTACAACATATTTAATAGTAGAAGTACACAGAACATACTAGAATGTAAGATAACTTTAACACCATGTTTGATTGTTAATCTTTCCATGGTTGAAATTGCCAAAGACTTAAGTTGTTAAATCTGAAAGAAAAAGGAAAAAATCATTAGACACTTAAACTTAATTCACATTTAAAATTGGTCCAAGTTATTGGAACACTCTATATTTTAAAAAGCAATGATTAGAATTGTAATAAAGCCTAAACATATGGTGAAAGTGAATTTATACATTTTTTGTTCTTGAGAATTTTCAAAAATATTAAACACTATTTATTAAACACTAATTAAGCACAATAATTTATAGTGTATGCTTATATATAAAATTGGATGTGTAGGTGGTGTAATGGATAGTGACCCTGAATGAGAAATTGGAGAACTAAGTTTGCATTTGAGTTGGGTTTGTTACATTCACTTATGTGCAAATACTCTTGGGAAAGGTATGAATCCATCTCCTCTCTCCAGCTATGGGTTAAATAGTGTGGCCTGTATGCAGAAAAATCATTTTTACTCTCAGAAGTTGTTGATGCAATATTCACTTGGCAAAAATTAATTATTCTTACAATAAAAATTAAGTTTCAGCTTTAAATAACCTGTGAAGTTAATGAGACAAAAGTGGGAAAGCTATAAACATCTGCTGCTTTTGGCTTCTTCAGGTCAGAATGAAAAACAAATGCATGGAAAGAAAATGCATTGGGATCTCTGAGGATACAGCACTTTGATTTGTAGCCTTCTTATCAGATCTGATAACTAGAAAATGTCTCTGTTTTTATTTTTTTTATATATATATATATATATATATATATATGGGTATGATGAAAAACACATACTTGTGCATACATATATATGTTTCTATCTTAGGTGTTATAAATACAGAGCTTAATGTTATGAAACAGATCTATAAGTATATATTAGTGAATATACATATAGTATCCAATGTCGATAGCATGACTCAGTTTCATGCAAATCTGCAATCTTCAAGTGCTGAATACGACCTCATTCTCATTCTGTATTCAGATCATATTAAGCACCTGAAGATTGCAGACTTGTATGAAAACTCTGAGTTGTGCTATCAACATTGGATATTATGTATATTTACTTATATTTTAGCTACATCTATATATATATATATATATATATATATATATATATATATATATATATATATATATATATATGTATATTATATATATATATATATATATAGATCTGTAAAAGGGCAATATGAATAAAGACTTTTTTTTTTTTTATAAATACTTGTTGCAAAATAAAATCCTTACATTGGCTTTGATAAAAGTCCATCACAGGACAAAATACATTGACTAAGATAAGTTTCCTTTTGTTTTTATTCACACACACATGCTTATATAGTTGGGCAGCATTCCCTCTTTCATACAAGTTTCATTTTTATTCAATTTTTATTGTGTTTGGATAAGTGATTTCTTTTCTTTCTTTTCTGGACATAAAGTGTTTAAAAACTGTCCGGCTATTGTACATCTCAGCACTTTTGGCTATTCTATTAGCCATTATCAAGGATGTTTTTTTTATTTTTTAACTAAATGTGTAGATTTTAATGTATGTATCTATAGGATTTTATTATTATTTTCCACACATGGTCAGCACATCCCTTAACAGTATATATATATATATATATATGTGTGTTGTTAAGGGATAAGCTGTAAAAACAAATGAATATATAAAAACTGATTATTGATCCCTCTTATCTAATTTGTTCTCTGTCAACAACAATTTAGATTGTGTTGTATATGAAAACTAATAATATTAATGGTAAATGTTTATAAAAACACAGCACAGATAAAAATAAGGCACATATATTTGAGCCTTGTCTTCAGTTTTGTTGTTTGTTTTCTTTTTCAGTGTATGAATGCCGACTCTATTTTCCAATTATATAACTTAACTGATGATTACAGACTGACAAGACCAGATCTACTTCTGCTCACACCCCTGATTCTCAAGCAAGTACAGACTTGTCAGCTAAAGAATGAAGAAATTCTATATTTCTCCAAATCGACGGAAGGTATCTATTTTCACCGACAGAAATTTATTTTTAGCCAATGTTCAAATTACAAGTATTGAATTTATCTTTTAATTTCCGTGTAAAATTTAGCTGACAAATTTATTTACTATTGTCAGTATTTAAAAAATGCTAACAAACCTTAATTGGGGCAAGGAGTGGCTTGTTAATTTTAATGCCTCCAAAACAAAACTACTCTCTACTGACCTGAATGGACCCTTTTTACCTTCCATCATCGTGGCTTATGCTAACCTCCAGGAGAGTGACTCATTGCACCTTCTCAAACTGACTTTTCCTGCTGCTATGAAGTGGAAAGAGTATATTGAACCAATTGCTAAGTCTGCAGCTAAGAAACTTGGTTCACTGTGTTGTACTAGACACAGTGATAAAATGTGCTAGACACATTCATAATAAAATCCAAAGAAAACTCTTGACCTGGCATCCTGACTTCAGTCATTTTCCCATCGCTGTA